TCTTTTTTTTTTTTTTTTGGTTAATATAATAGAGGCAGGAATTTTTCTCCCCCTCTCACCTTGTCCTTCTCCAAGTAAAGAGAACTTGGAGGAGGAATAGTAGATCGCCTGATACGATTCTTAAACAGAAAGGCTGGGTTCTGTGTAAGCTTTCCTTCTTGCTAGGTTATGTGGAGACTTGTTTTTATATGTTCCCAAAGTGCACTAAATTAGTTAACTGCACCAAACGGGAGGAGATGGACTTCACAAACCTCCTAGATGACAACCAACACTACTGTCCTCAAGAAAAATGCCCCCACTTGCTGGCCTTTACCTCATTTCATCACATCAACAGTTTAGAATTGTGCACAGCAGAATTTATCTCTGGTAAGAAATCTCATCAGCTGGAGAGACATGAGAGAAACCCTTACACAGAGATGTTTCTGTCAGATTGCATTAGGGAAGGACAAGTCAAGAGCTCACCTTTATATACAATGGTTCCCTGAGGTGGTCAACAAGAATGCAAGCTTTCTCCTCCCACACAGGATTGAGGTTCTTGTGTATTGTTTTACTTCTAAAAACTTCTTTTCCTCCAATTTTAAACTTTACATATGGATCACTTGTCCCTGTAAAAGAGATACACATCAGTCCACATTAGTCATACCTTTCTGTGGAAGCAAGAGAATAGCTCATCCGAGCATCACAAAGAATAAAAGTTAAATGAGGTTTATCACATGGGAAAAAAGGTTAAGTGTTTTTCCTAAATTTTTCCTTAAATAGTGAAGTGACAGCAAATTATAATACTATAATATTGTACCCTGTCCTGGTATTTAAATAACTCTACCGCATGCTGAGATTAACTAAATCAGTCATGTCTCTTGGTATCATCTGGTAACTATAAAAGGGATGACCCAGGAGCTCAGCTTATTTAACTAGCTTTAGACTTCTGTATGTTGCCAAAATTTTACACTACTCAAAAAGGATTGAGAAAAGGTGAATCTCAAACTGGGCTTCAGTTTTATCCTTGGTTACATATTCTTTCTTGCTCAAAAATTTCAATTTTAGAATGTTAGGAAGGGAATGAAGTCTTGGAGTAAGGCATCGGGGGAAGGAGACAGATGATTAATTAATTATCTGGATACTTTACATTATCTCTTAACACCTCCCAAGCTCCCCAGAATGATAAAGAAATCAGAGCTGTCAAGTAAGTGGCTCAAAGATGCACAGCTAGCAAGAGATGGAGTTAGGGTTCTAACCAAGGCTGTCTGACTAATGCCTATGCTTTTTCTACTGCAGTTGCAAGAGGGATTGGACTTTACATACTTACATACATATTATACCATTTCTCATTTTGACTGATGAATGAGACCAATCTTGATGTAGTGAGTCTATGCTGTTATTAAGGAGTCGGAGAAGGTGAATCAGGGACCACGCCAAGTAAATCATTAACATGTGACAATCTCCATTCTCAGGGAATAATGTATACAAGTCCTGACTCCCTTATAATAAAATTTTAATTGTTTTATCTAAATGGAAGCTATAGTTGATAACTATGGTCCATATGATATAAAGAAAAATATGTGGGGCCCTGAAAACTGTAAAGCATGATATAAATGTTAGGCACTACAATTATGACACTGATATCCTTAAACTCATTCTCTCTATTCCTCTTTAACACTCCACTCACCTTCGTGACACATAAATACCTATGCAAAATGGAAGGATTGCCTTGTAGGATTGGTTTGTTCTTAGTCAATCATTTGCAGCTCTTTCAAAACTTTCCACATTCCCCAAATAAATATAATACCTTGTTTTTAATATGACTAGATTTGGGTATAGTAAAATAATGATCCTAATTTTCAATCATGAAACTCCCTTTCTGACAGTTTGATTTTATCATAATGGCACAAACTTTTAAAAACACTTACAGATTTAAATGCAGGCTATTACAAGATAATCTATTTTAATGCATTCTTTAGGAAAGTCAGTGAACCAAAATGTTTAATAGTTAAAATGGGTGTTTTTAATATTGGTTCCCAGCCATGGGCTGAGGACCCAGAGATGTGGAGTGTTGCAGAACATATTGGAGGGCCATTACAATCCATACATATATTCGAATTTTCTCAGACGTGCCCTACATCAAGCTATTGCCTTTGATTTTCAGAATCATCTAAGTCAACTATGACCACTTGCTAAAATATTATAAGGTCCATAATATTAGAGCCATTAGATCACTGGTTTTTAAATCTCCAGCACTTACAACACAATCAGACATTGTCAGTCCTCAATAAACATTTAGTGAATAAATGAGCGACTTAATGATTTAATGTGGTGAGTGGCAGACCTCTCTTTCTGCAGACTTTTGTCTTCTCCACTTGGATTTCCGATAGCCGTCTGGATATGTATGAACATTCCAATAGATATCTGTTAGCATCTTGGTGTTAACAATGCCCAAAACTTAAGTCTTGGTCCTCTCTCCTGCTAAACTTGCTCCTCCTTCAGGCTTTGTCTGGTCAGTTAATGGCTCCAGTACTTGACAGTTGCTCAAGCAAGACACATGGAAATTATTCTCCATACCTCATTCTCCATGCTTTGTATCCAGGACACTGAGTAATTCTCCTCCAAAATTCACCTTAACCATCTTCTCTGTCTCCACTCCAGTTAAGCTACCATGATTTCTTTGCTGTACTATTACAATACTACCCTCCTAACTGGGCTAGCCACATCTTTGCATCCCTTCTATTAATTCTCTATATGGCACACAGGTTGATCTTTTAAAAACAGTTCTATCTCCCCCTTCATTGCTTAACACATCTCAGAGGCTTTCAACGACACCTAGAATAAAATCCGAAATCTGTAACATGGTATATAGGACTTGCCATTTTGCCATCTTCATTTTTGGCCCCTTCCTATGTTCCATCTATCTTGTTGCCAGAAGTTATTTTTCTGCTTCCAGTCTTTGCATATTCTGGCCTTTCTCTTAAAAAAGTTCCCCCTTCCATTCTCTTCCCTTTTTGCCTGGCTGACATTTTATTATCTTCTAAGTGTTAGCTTAAACATAATTTGCTCTGGGATGCCTTTCTCAACCTCTCAGTCTAAATTAGTTCTCTTGGTCATTTTCTCTTGGCACTTGCTTTTTTGCTTAGTAGTACTAATCCTTTTGTTACTTACAAGTTAATTTGCATGTCTACCTGTTTACTAGGTGAATTTTTCCCCTGGATATAATACACATAGAGCCAAGACTCTCCCCCAGCACATGGTGGTGTCTGGGGAGCATCAATAATTATCTGTTAAATGTGTTGGGGTATGTTATGCATTTTCCTCGGTCCTGCCTCAAGAAAGAATTGAAGGGCAAAGACACAGTAGTGAAGCAAAGTAAAAGTTTTATTTAAAGTTATCTAAAAAGAGAAAAAAGTACAGGTGACCTCAGGGAGGAGAGGTGCCCTGAAAGGCTGGCAAGAGAAGTTTAAGGCTTCACACTTCAGAAGTGCAGGTGACCTCAGAGAGAGAGGAGTGCCCTGAAAGGGTTAGGGTCTGGGGTTTTATGCCAGTTGAAGATTCTCAGGAATGTGACAAGGGGCTAGGGGTGTGGACTTGTTAAGTGTTCTCAAGATATTTATCTTTGATGAGACATTAAGTTTTATTAGTCCTCCAGGGAATTCTGCAAAATAGGCTTAACACAAGAAATTGACTGCTCTGATTTCCTCCCAGTATAGTAGCTTCCTGGTCTGGGAGCATATCAATCAAGACTGTTTGCCCTTCCTCCAGGGTGGGTTGAGTTATTGTCTGTTTGCTGAGGAGTATGTTAATAATCTTAATTTCTTGAGTTTTTAAAAATGCAATTTTAGCTTTAAGATGGAATCTTCCTGTCTTAATTAGCTGTTTATAGGTTGGCCTATTAGCAGGCTAGAGTAAATCTTACAATGGCATGATCTAATTGACACGATGAAGACATGGGCTGTGCTCAGATACTTTTCTTTATTTGGGTAATATTTAAACATTCCAGGCCAAGTTGCTCCTGACCTTTTGAGCTTTAACTGATTAGCTCATTAACTCTGAGTTTTTTCTGGCTCTCTAGTTTTAACTGGTTAACATTTTGAGTCCCCTGTAGTGGACTTTACTGGCCTTCATTCTCTCTCCACCCTGCTAATATCTATTTTCCTGCTTAACAAATGGATGAGTAAATGAGCAACTACAGAGTTTACGGCACACAGAGTATTAGACACATCCTCTAAGAAGTTGGTAAAAGCATGTATTATCAGCCTATAATGCAGATGCAAAACAATCTGAGATTCAGTGTGACTTGCCCCAAATCATACAAGTACACCAGGAACAGGATGGAAAGCAAATTTAGACTTTCAGACACCAATTGGAATGTTCTTTCTACTTAGCTTTTTAGGAAACCTGAATATCCGTATTTTCCTTTTTTATTCTACCACACCATCAGAGAATTACTATGTAAAAATATTGAATAATGATTTAGATACTATAAATAATACTAATATTGACAAATAACTTATTCTGGTCAATAATCCTCAAATGTTTATTATTTGTTTAATCACCCTATGTTTCTGTGAGTATATTGTCTCCATTTTAGGCATGAGGAGGAAAGGTTGAGTAGCTTGCCCAGGTCCCACTAGAACTTACATATGGAGGCCAGTCTGGTTAGTGCTTTTTCTGGCACATCACCAAAAACATTACTCAAATAGATGTAACAATCCTCTATTTTTTTTGTCTAAAAAATATGAAGAACTCCCTTACAAGAAAAGTGATTCCAAGAAAACTTGGCCTTGTGTTTCTAAATAGTTATTGATATTAGCATGTTACTCCATTTAGTTTCACTATTACCTAAAAAGATTGACAAAGCTTCTAGTAATTTACTACAAGTCCATCCATATGCTCAAAAACTAATCTTTTTGAGATGCAGTGTGCTTTATTTGTGTGATTCATTTTTTTTATTAAGATATTATTGATATACACTCTATGAAGGTTTCACATGAAAAAACAATGTGGTTACTACATTCACCAATGTTATCATGTCCCCTCCATACCCCATTGCAGAACAGTACAGTAAGATGCCAGAGCCACTATTTGCCTTCTATGTGCTACACTGTTTTCCCCATGATACCCCCCACACCATATGTGCCGATCATAATACCCCTCAATCCTCTTCTCCCTCCCTCCCCACCCACCCTTCCCCACCCCTCCCCCTTGGTAACTGCTAGTCCCTTCTTGGAGTCTGTGAGTCTGTTGCTATTTTGTTTCTTCAGTTTTTCTACATTGTTATACTCCACAAATGAGGAAAATCATTTGGTACTTGTCTTTCTCTGCCTGGCTTATTTCACTGAGCATAATACTCTCCAATTCCATCGATGTTGTTGCAAATGGTAGGATTTCTTTCTTTCTTATGGCTGAATAGTATTCCATTGTGTATATGTACCACCTCTTCTTTATCCATTCATCTACTGATGGACACTTAGGTTGCTTCTATATCTTGGCTACTGTAAATAGTGCTGCAATAAACATAGGGGTGCATATGTCTTTTTTTACTCATTAGGTAAATTCCTAGGAGTGGAATTCCTGGGTCAAATGGTATTTCTATTTTTAGTTTATTGAGGAACCTCCA